AGGCTAAGAAAGATAACCGTAATTTTAATGTTGCTCCGAACAAAAGAACCTTTTGTTGTCTTCAAATAAAGCCGTAAACATACATAAACTCTTTTCGTTATTGCAAAAGGTTAATTTTTAACTGTCATTAGTGGTATGGGTAGAAGGTAAGAAAAAGTCGAAAAGTGCTGCAAACAAATAAGTTCATACCTTGAATTTCACAGTTCCGGCCACAATAACCCGTGCCCATGCAGTTGCACTTGTAAGTGTAGTTTCCTTTTCCACTATAGTTAGGACGACAAGTACCATTGTTTAGACATGGATTGTTGTTGCAAGGATCTTGGAAAGAAAAAGAATCGATGATCAGTACTCACTCGGATCGTTTTAGAATATGATGTTCATGTGATTGCACAACTTTATACACAAAATATTTAACAAAGGCACAGGATGCATTGTGTTAATTTTATATATTTATTCGTGGTCTTCTGAAATCTTCGTCTAATTGTGCCAGAGATAAAATATATTTTTCAGAGGTGTATCGTTGTAGCGTTGTAGATAGAAAATGTTATAACTCTGCAAAAAGCGCTGTTTAGAGAAAAAAAGAGTTAGTACTGTAGTCAACGCATCACACTCCAAGATGTAGAATATATCCCGTTCGAAAACCTGCGTTACACTTGGATACGTTCCCTAGTAAGCCACATTCACGCAGGTTTGTGTCTGAAGCTTTTTATCAAAACCATCTGGATTTAATTGTGAAAACTCGGTACGTAACTGATCATATAAATTATGTACTTCACATAGAATCCCGTATATTCACAAAAATGGAGTGACGAAGTGTGCATTATACGAATAGCAGGAGTATAGCAGAATTTTTTGCACGTAAATCTGGGATGTGATAAGAAAAACGTTCAGTTGTATAGCCCTATATTTTCGGTGTAATTTTCAGCTATGTGTTTTTTCCACAACACTTGGTAATTAAAGCAAAGATGCTAAACGGAATAAACATCCCATCGATTAATGCCCACCTGACTGCATACTGTACAGGGAAATTTTTAGGGATCCGCTAGTACTACCCTGCGGAAGCCGAAAAGCATCTTACATTCCTTAAAAAAAAGTTCGAGAGCTTAATGGGTGCTAGTACAAAAGTACATTCGAATTTATTTTGCTTGGTGACAAGGTGGCGATTTTTTTATTAGCCCGTTGCCTTAAGCTGCAGTAATGGAGGTTTTTTGTTGAAAAGGTATCCCGCTAATACGAAGAAGCATGACTTGTATAGATTTTGTAGAAGAGGATAAGTTTATAAAAGATAAAAAAGCATTTAGCGCAGCCCATTTGGAGCCTGTAACAGTACATCTTTGCTGGTCTTATCAAGTACCCCGCTAACTATGAGTGCTTACAACCGGTACAATTTATCGAGATGAGTATCTGGGACAGTATAAACATAGTCATTGTCGACAACATTTGGTAAAAGAATGATTTGTTCATTTGATTTAAGACCGGGGTAGAGATAGTGTGCCTGTATTTTTTCGTAAGATATAAGATTTTATTACATTTACTTTCAATCTGTTGAATATTATATGTAGAAGAGAAGTACATAGTCGACCATGCTAAATCTGAAGGTAACGTTGATGGTATTTTACTTTATGTTACTCTTCCTCTTTCAAGGTTACTTGAAGTCACTGAGTTCCAGTCCTGGAGCTGCATGGAAATGAGATACCACGTCCAAATCACTCATAATCAAAGTCTCGCTTGGCTCCCACTTTGAAGAGGACACTTTAGGCTATTTACTCATAAAAAAGCCAATGTATTGCTACTTTATCATTTAGAGTTACGAAACGGTTTTCTAGAGATCTCCTAGAAAACCGGTCGTTGAGAAATACTTTCAACTTTCAGTTATAAAAAGATAGCTTAAAGTTTTAGCTATCGAATGGCAAAAACCACGAGTTTCTATCACCTTTCGTTCTTGAGTTATTAAAAAACCACTGACCGGCATATGAAAATCCATCAGCAGGAACCTATTGGAGGTACCCTCGGTATAACTCGCACATAGAAGCGCATTAATAGTAGAATTAACTTGTTGTTGTATTACCATCGAGTTCCTTGTGAAAAACTGCATATCAAACTGGCTTTTATGAAATTTTGATGTACTATAGCAGAAATACACTGCTTGAAGCAAGCCTGTAGAACTCGGTGCCCCCGACCAAACCCCCGAAGCCGTTTTAGCGAAACCCACAAATTCCAGCATGGACAAGGAGAGTGCACCTGGTGTACTCCGGCATTATACTAGGGGGCTTCAGAATGGCCCCATTTCCATGGAGAAAATCATTTCTTAAAATTGCCCAAAATAGTCCTTTTTGGGCAAAATTGCAACTTTGAAATCGTCTGTATTGAAAACGAAAGTACCGGAGACCGTCAAACTTTTACCAGATATGCTTTGGCATATGATCTATTTGGAAATATGGTTAAAAGTCTCACGGTCGACTTTGCTTCAAATGTATGCTACAGGAAGTTCAAAGTTTTTTTGGATTTGGGCTGTTAGTGTGCCATGTACTACAAAATAACGAAATGATCGTTTGAGCTCGCGATTGCGTGGTTTTGTTGTTCACACTATCTACTATGTGTGATAGAATCTCCAGGGTTAAGTAATCTGTTGTTACTGAATTACAAGAGTTCGAAGTTGGCAGATTTTCAAGATGGAGGAATTCGCGTTTTCGGGGCTTTTTGTAAAATTTCAATATTTCAGCAACAATACAACTTTTAGATTTGCGCCTTTTACCGAAGTTCATTAAAATGTTAGGTCTACAAGAACTCCCTAGTTTGAAAAAGTTTTGAGGCTACTATCATTCTAAAACGTTTAACCCAATTGATCAAACAGAGTCAAGTCATATATATGACCATTGTTGTTTTCTCATAAGAGATGCGGTTCGTATTGCAGAAATTTCTGTTTGAATAAAAGTAGTGGAGCCTGGCTAGAGTTTAGGGCTTGATGCATTCAACTATTAATTTTAATTTAAACTGTATTTATCACTTCGAAACAAGAACAGAGAGGGAATAAGAGAAAAATAAAAAGTACAGCTGAGTATTAGGCAGTTTTGCTTCAGATGCAAAGAAAATACACTGTTGTGCATAAGAAAAGAGCTTGCTAGAACAATTGGTACAATGTGTAGAGAGAAGAAAAACAATAACAAAAGAAGAGAAGTGTCTAGAAGATGTTCCAGAATATAACAATGCTGTCATCAAAGAGAAAATATTCTCAACCTCAAGATCAAAATCATCACTACCAACAGACAATGCAAGAAAGTAGAAAAGACTGTCATGCTTGGTTGACATTGCTTGCAACAGCTCTCGTTCCATTGATGATTGGTATATTTACTGTCGTGATTACCATACAACACCAATCTTCGGCCGACAGACAACGCCAACAAGAACAACAACAAGCTGATAATCTTCAAAACGAACGAACATTTTCTACTTATGTTGATGATATATCAAAATTACTGTTAACAAAAGAAGTCACGACGGATAATAAAGCTCTATTGTATATTCGCACAAAAACTCTTTCATCACTACGAAAACTCGATACACAAAGAAGAAAATATCTGTTGTTGTTTTTATATGAAAGTCAACTTCTTCAATATGATAAAACGAAGAAACATGATCGTTCTACATTGAATTTAGCGGGAGCTGACCTAAATCATATTCATATAGAAAAACCGAAAAATTTTAATAATTTAAGTCTACCCGGTGTTGAGCTGAACAATGCATCATTTACTAATTGTCATCTACAGCATTCACGGTTTGCTGATTCAATAATGAACGATATTAGATTCACCAACTCATTTCTACTAGGAACACGTTTCAGTCGTTGTTCGCTAGAACGAGCTGATTTTCGTAACACAACATTGACTCATGTGAGTTTTAGAAGTGCAATTTTGAGACATGCCGACTTCACACGAGCATGGACAAAAGCAGCTGATTTCACAAATGCTGATCTATATGGAGCTTTGATGACCGAAAAACATCTTCAGGAAGCTGAATTGCTTGACAATGCACGGCTGCCAAACGGCTCATTTGCCATGATTCAAGAAAAAAATTTAGTGGTAAATGGTGAAAACATTGGTTGTGATAAGAAATTACTATCCTCGTGGACAATGGAATCTGTTATTATCAAGACATTTCAACATTATCGCTCATCACCGAATTGTTCTTTTGGAATAGCTAATTTATCGTCGCTGAATCCTACATCTATAGAGCAGCAAGTAGTAGTGGCTAATTATTCTGTTTTGATTGATTCGGGAAAAGCTAAATATAATGTTTCGGGTTCATTCGGTGGTAATGCTTATGCTAAAATAACATTTCATACCCATGCAGCAGTAAAAACTGGTAAACAGGTAATGATAGGTAAGAACTAGATGATTAAGCAAGACAGTCACCTTTGACACGTTTATTTTCTTAAAGGTTTAGATGAGCGCCAGAATAAAACTGGAACCATGATATTTCAACAGAAACTTGGTACAATACCAGTGGATACTCGACAGTTTGTTCTCGTTGTTTATTTTATGAAAATTCCTGAAGGAAGGCATAATTTTGCTGTTTTTAATAATATACGGTTTTTTATAAAAGAACAGACATGATTTATACATAAACAGATACTATCCCTTTCATTGACATGTAACTTAGAAATCTGCTCTCTTGGCTCAATGTTACCTTACAAGAGCAATTCAGTGTGGGTCTAAAGGTGAAATGTCTGATGAAGCGATTATAAGTATTCTCGTTCAAAATAGTTTCAAATGATTGAAACTCCCAGAAAACACTCAACTTGACATGCCAAACATGTCATGATGCATCAGGATTTGAAAAACCCTCAAACGACTTATTGAATTTTTACACGGTTTTCTAGAAAACCTAGGCCTCAAAGAAACGTTTTTCCATAAATAGTTGTTAAATGATATTAGCAGCGTAACTCATTCGGCTAGTGAGCAGACAACTTACTTCAAACATACGGAGTTTGAATCCTGGCAATGGCGGTCGCGTAATAGTTTTGGGCAAGCTATCTAATGTCCATCGTTTCGGTACCCTCGGACACAGATGCAATTGAGGTAACCCGATTCCAGTGCCATTGGACTGGAGAGATGCGAAGTAAAGTTTAAAAAGTAAAAAAATTAAAGAATAATACTACCAATGCAATTCTGACTGTTTTGTGGAAGTTTCAAATCATTTAGACAAACTATGAATTTTTTAGCTTATGGTGAAATCCGGAAAAAGCAGATCTTTTCGTATAATTTGGTTTTGACGATGTTGTCAGTATTTTTTCTAAAACTGTACATTGCCACTATACTCAGCATGGTCGTTAACGTATAATTTAATGTTTCAAGACTCCTAGGGTCAACATTTAGCCTTTAGGTAGGTCCCTGGAGATGCGAAACCGCTCCTGAATTGTGACAGCTAGAGACTGGGGACTCGCGACACCCTGCCGATATCGCTCTATATCCAGCATTTTATGAAATAAAGTTTAAACAAGCAAACAATTATTGAGACTAGATCACCGTGTATACTATGAGAACGACCTCCGACCACAACAACCTTATTTAGCTATCAATTGTAAATCACATGTTCGTTTAAACAATACTGGTAGTCAACTAAACATCACAGCTCTACATTTAGAACATAACCCCAGCTTTCAACAAGGACGAATGATGTAATGAAAAGTATAGGTTAATTCTCAGCATCACAGCTCTACATTTAGAACATAGTCATCAGATGTCAATTAACAATTTAAGATTTTATCCAGCTCATCGATGTTTCAGTAATGAAGTTATTGAACAAATCAAACATTATGATAAATATAAAGTACCCCAACACATTATTCGAAACATATTGATTGATACGCATCAGGATAAATTTTACATAGTGAAGAATATTGGCAATATTTTGAAAGTAACGTCAAATAATACAATCACACAAGAACTAGCTGTTCAAACATGTTTAACTGAGATGAAAGAAGCTGATCTAACAGCAAAAATCGAAGTTATCGTCCAAAGAAATTATGAATTAAATATGATATTTATCGCCTGTACAAAAACGAAAAATAATTTTCAAAGATATGGATAAGTTATTTTTTTCGACATACAAAATAAATCTCGAAAACTATTCCATGTACATCTTTTTCGTACAAGACAATCTCGGTACAGCTTTGTAAATTAACGTCAACTTATATTGCAGCTCAATAACAAGTATTGTGATGTGACGTGAGGCATATAGAAGATCGACTTCTTTGAAGGGAAAAATATTTTTGAAAAAAGGCAAGCATATTATTGTAGCCCGTCAAAAGGCGGTTCAAATGGTGTATAATAGTGCCCGTTTATTTTCAAAACCAGGGAGGAGATAGGTTTGTCCGACCGAGGTCTCAATCTGAGTCTGACATCCACGGACGGCGATAGGCGGAGGTCAAAAATTTTCCAAAGTCACTTGAATCTACTAAACTTTTAATGCTGAATTCAAATAAAATAGAGAGAAAAATTTTTGCGACCCACAAAGTGGTGAAAACCTTCAATTTCTCGAAAACAGACGGTTTTTTCGTTTTTCAACTTGTTCTGCTGTTCGTTTGACTTAAAAAATGTTTGTCTATCTGACACATAGGAACACTCTCCTCTACTGTTCAAGAATTTTTCTTCTTCTATCTTTTTTATTTTTTTTTCTTACCTTTTTTAAATTTTACTTTTTGACAGCATGTAATGAGAGAAAGCCCGATTGCTGTATTTTTTTTGAATAAAAATTCAACTGCTTAAAAGAAAAAGAATGTTTTTGAAGCTCATATTCGTAATCGCCTCGGCGAGCTCTATCCAACCATGTATAATTCGACTAGGTTCGTTTTTGTCACGGTACTTTTGAATTTCCGGCACCTTAAATCTCGAAAACTATTCCATGTACATCTTTTTGGTACAAGACAATCTCGGTACAGCTTTGAAAATTAACGTCACTTAGGCATGTACTTTAAGATAAAACCGGAAAAATAACGCCTACCTGTTGAAATAAGGTCAGCCAACAGCTCTAGCGTTGCTATCCAGTGAAAGCTAAGACAATATCCGTAGTTTATTAGAATTGTTTAAAGCTACATATCAAGGATCAAATCAAACCGAAGCGTTTTTTGTTAACAAAGATTTTAATGAATCCACAATGTATGACCATTATAACTTTTTAAAAGCGTATTTTCAGTCGCAAAGACTTCAAGACTTGCGAACCACACCGAATTTTTCACATTTCTGAGTCAATTGAAAGGAATTTAACGCATTTTGGTTAGAAATGAAATTTGAAAAACGCGTTTCACTTTTTCAAAATTTATAAGATAGTTTCTTACGTAAAACTCGTTTCGTAGACTGAAGTGAGAGCTGTCCAAATATCGTTATCTGGATAATAGCTATACATAGAGGAAATAAGGATTTAAGAAGATAACGGAAATCACGCCTAGCACAAGGTGGTAAAATAATGTCTTGTGACTCACTCTCATGCT